AATGGTGGTGAAGACAACAACTGATCCCACGCTGCTCTTGTTGGAGTTTAATCTACTTGCTAAAGCATTATATCTTATATATATTATATGATTCTATACTTATTAAAGTGAGGAGCCTCCTGAAACCTCCTGAATTTGCAGATATCTACAGATTTGAGTTTGGGAATGACACCCGCAGTTTTCACTGTGTTTTGTTTTCCTTCCAGATGTTTCACAGTGATGTCACTCGTGCTGACAGTTGGTGGTTAAAAGTATGCACGTTACCTCACCCAGCGGTTAATTTAAGCGTTTTGCGAAACACTTAATTGTACATGGGGGGGATAGAGAAGCTGTGACTGAGCTCCCCCCTGGTGTTCGTCATCTGTTGATGATTAAGACACTCGAGTGTTTGTATAAATCAAACCGACAGTTTCAACAGAAGCTGAACGGCGTCCAAAGACTCCACATGAGAGCGATTTGTTTAATATGCAGTCGGTGTTCACCTGGCAGTGTGTGTATGAAGGATGTCACTTCCTCCACGCTCCACTGGGAGGGGGCGGGTTTGAACGTGGTCGTGGGCGAAGAGGTGGTCAAGGCGGGCGCAGACGCCCTCCTCGCTCTCCGCGCCGCCCGACGCTCCATCCTGGCTGTCATGGCGACAGCAGGATCCTCCTCCCCAGCATCATCATCTTCCTCCTCCCCTCCTCCCCGCATGTCCTCCTCCTCCTCCTCCTCCTCTTCTGCTGCCGTTGCCTTCTCCTTCCCCTCCTTCTCTCGCCGCCCGGCACTCCAGAGATCACGAGGCTGCGAGTTGTGAGAAAAAAAGAGGTAAAGAAGCGAGTGAGTTCATCCTTCATGACTTTAATACTCGAGGAGATTCAGAAAATGTTTGCTTCTTTAAAGTCTGAATAAATACAACAATAACAAATGTGTTTTCAGTTTTCAGGCTTTTGTCTAATCTTTGCTGTTTTGTGAAATATTGGATTGAAATTAAACCTGCAAACAACTGACGGACTGAAACATTTTATTCTTAATTCACTGTATTTTAGAAGATGATCATGTTTTTTTTAAATATAAAATCTTAGTCTGAAAGGTAAATCCAGCTGTCAAATTCATGTTTTGGAATTAAAAAGTACAATATTTCTCTCTGAAATGTAGGTGCTTGAATAAAACTACCTCAAATTTGTACCTATTTAAAACACTTGAAAGTACTTAGTTACTTTCCACCACTGAATAAACCTGCACTCACTCAGTAGACTGAAATATTGAAAGAACAGCTGGGTGCTAACAGTGCAGTTCCTCTGATGGACACTAGAGGCTACAACAAACTTCCAACTGCAATAAAGTCGATAAAAACAAAGACAAAGACAATTTTAGGAACTAATTTCACATTTTCTAATCAGAGTCATGGCAATGATTTCAATGAGAGTCCAAACTCTCAAGTCTCAAACTTAATTAAATGTTCAATTATATCCATAAATGACCTACAGTCTACAGTCATAATCTCATATATAGAGTCTAAAAAACAAGAATCAAGTGTTAATTTATAACTGAACTGCTGTTTTAGATGAAGATATTGATGAAGGACTGAGATGTTATCAGTGTGTTTAGCTTTATGTGGATGAGTGAGATGCGGATTAAACAGCAGCAGGAGGTTAAAGAGCTTCTGTGGATGTTTTGGCGACTTTGGTTGTGAAATAACGAGTAAATCTGAGCTGACCACAAAGGAAGAAAAAAAGAAAAGAAGAACAAAGTTTCTTCAGCAGGTGAGTGTTAAATAGTGTGGGGGACATATTTTGGTTCATCAATTTAACATATAAAATAATCTTAACGTTCAGGGTTCCCACTGTTTTTAAGAAATCATTTTCCAGGACCTTTCCAGGACATTTTCCAGGAGTTTTCTTAACAATACAGGACAGCGCTTGCTCACAAACTTTTAACAGAAAAGACTTTTATTGTGACATTTACCAGAAAGCAACACTTTTATTGATGTTCAAGCTCCTATTTATTACATTAGAGGACCAGTGTGTGACATTGAGGAGAATCTACTGGCAGAAATGGAATATAATCTTTATAGGTATGTTTTAGTGTATCGTTATCTTCGTGTCCACAGAATACTTGGTTGGTGTTTCCTCTGTTTGGCTCTTTGGGTCTACTTGGATCAGGTCATTTATTTTGCTTGAGTTTAAACTGTGGTAGTTCAGTGTCCCTACCAGTCGCAGTAACAGAGGTTTCCCAGGAACGGACTCTGCCCTGTTCAGGGCTGGGCGGGGCCTCTCTGACCGACTGCCTGCACTCAGGGCCCGCAGACGCTTCGTCAGACGAACGTTAAACCTGATGGAGACACAGAGGTAGGGAGAAGGAGGGCAGAGAAACAATGAGAGAAGTGGTGTGTTTCCTCGCTCTACTGCTTTGATTCACACTCATATTTTTTTTTAACACCTGTGTGTATCTACACAGGCCGCACACCACATCCTGTCAGCGTTGCTGCTGCTGTGACAGCAACACCCCTTTAAAGACGCTGCTGCATTTCAGAAACTCTGTCTGAAGGTCACGCTGCACAAAAAGTGGCTTTTTGAATTGTGAGCCAATGAAATCAGGTCTCACCCGCGTGCACAGGAAGTGGAGCAGAAGCGCTTGGACCGCATGAAGTTGTGTGCGTGGCCTCTCTTCCCGCAGAACTGGCAGTGCAGCACTGTCCTGTCCCTGTGGGCCGACCCTATATGTGCGAGACAAACACATTCACTGTCAACTGTGTTTCATTTCAGAGATGTTAAAGCTGCACAAGGTGTTAATCTTTTTCAGGAAATACATAAATCACATATATAACTCTCTCTTCCATACCACCTCCTTATATCTTTATTTAATGTATATTTTCTTATTTATTGTGTAATTGAAGCTACATTTCCCCTCTGTAGGATCAATAAAGTCTTATCTTAAAGTTGCAGATATAAATACCTTTATGATTCTTAGTGTAAAGACCTGAGTCATTACACCAAGTGAGACCAGACTATTTCAAGTCCACTTTATACTACTTGATGCAACAGAGAAAAGTGTCCAATTGTTCCTTATTGAGAAGACTAGAGCTGCAACTATTGATTGTCGATTATTATTTTCTTTTCCGGTTGTTTTGATCATCAATAATCTAGATTTCTGTCACATAAGAGAAAGAAAAGTACCAAAGCTGCAACCAGAGAATGTTTGTTTGTTTTTGCTTGAAAAATGACTCAAATCAAATCTTGAAGGATCAAACGTACAGTTTTGTAATAGTTTGTTAGTCCACTGTTACTCTCACTGCAATACAGTATCAAAATATACATTTTCTAAATTATAGCAGGAGTTTTAGGATTGTTTTCCAACACAGGCTCGTGCTCGGAGGACTTTAAATACGTTACCCTGGGCTAAGAAGAAAAATAATGCGGCCTGAAAAGCAGAATTTAGCTTCTTTTCAGCCATGTTTCACTTCTGACCACACTCAACCGCTGATGTTGGGTGTGGTCAGAAATGTGTAACCACGCCCAGAGTGATGTCCCAAGGTGCCGGAGTACACCTGTGCACCACAGCAGCAAGGTGAGAAGTTAAACCACAGGAGCAACAACATGTTTTTTACAGGATGTGAAGTTATTAAGACTTTTTTGTAATATTTTATTGACCAAACATTTAGCTCATTGTTTAAAAAAACAAGTGTTAATCTTTTTTTTCAGTTACTGAGACGATTCCTTAAAGAAGCTTCCACACCTGACGGTTGAGACCTGTTTAGTTTTTTTAATCCACAAAGGAAGGTTATAATTGATCGTCCACTTTTAACTTTCTGCTTTTTTAATCTCACCTTTCTCTGATAATGCATTGTTGATGATACTGATGCAGTCAGTTACTTACAATAACAAAATGTCACTGAGTGAGTGGTTTAGTTTAGGGAATGTGTGCACTTTCTCCTGGCGTTTAAGAGGTCAAGTTTTGTTTTTAAGTGTTTGAATCATGATTCAATGACCATATAATAGATATCTATTCATCTCAGTGCAAAATCAAGTTATATATTTAAAGATTTTTACAAAATAGGAGAGCTTTCTCTTCCCAAACCCCATTCTGACCTCAGCTACAGTTTTAACAAAGGTAGTTATAAACCATCCACTCACTGTTCCCGGGGTCGTCCGTGTCTCCGGCCTCCTCCTGCTCAGAGTCAGTGGACGGCTCAGCTTGTTTTATTGTGTCCGTCACAGGTAACGCTGCTTTCCCATTGGTCCCATTGACTTCCTGTGGTTTGGTCACCTGCTCTGGAACCAGCAGCGAGGAGCGGTTCACCTGCAATAAAAAAATATATTTTTATAAATCCTCCCACTTATACCTTTATATTTATTTATTTAAATACACAGGAAACCTGAATTTTCTCCCACTTTGCCAAAGTAGGTTACACGATCAGCTGTGTAAATGTGAGTTGCTGGAGGCTCAAAAGCATTTTAGTCCAGCAGCTTAAACTGTTAAAGCTGTTAAACTGATCCATGACAACAGTGACTTCATGCTACTGAAGTTACATTTACTGAACATGAGCTCCAAACCTCTGTAAACTGTAGCTGATAACAGTTTTAACAGCGGCAGTCGGAGCTTTTATGACACCTAAAGTGAGCGAGTGAGTCGCACCATTACACCATTATGTGCATTTACCACTATTATCACTACTACTGGGAAAGTGCTGCCAGGAGCTGGTGTACGTTACCACTGCACATTAAGAGGGTCAGATTATGGTTTATGGAAAGTGTAAATTAAGTGATATCTAATTCAGATTTGTATAAAGCTTTTGATTTCTTTTGATTTCATTTGTAATAATCTAGATATTTATTTCACTGATTAGTTGAGAGACTGACGTCTGCAGGTTACCTAGACTCATTTTATAACGTTAGAGGTGCAACGTGTTTTTTCTGTACTGAATTAATTGAATTTTTATGTTTTTTCCCCACTTCTTCCCCACTATAGTTTGTTTGTTACTTTGGATAAATGCTAATTTTCTGTAGCATTTACCTACACAGACAGGTACGTCTCATGCTTCAGTTATTACAGTTAATACATTAAAATACTGATGTCCACTACAGCTGGTAAAATAATTCAATTAACTGACAAATATAGCCTTTTTTATTGAACATTAGC